GAGTGTCATGTTTTCACCAGTAATATACCTTCGTCATCCATTCCCGTCACGTTAAACCAAACTTGCTTTATGTGAAGCTAGCGAAGCGACTGCGTGTTCACCATCAGCGTATGGCGTGTAGTCATGTTCTTACGTGACACACGTATCATGATCATCGTGTTCGTACCAGTCATATACCTTCGTTATCCATTCCCGTCACGTAAAGCCAAATTTGGTATATGTGAAGCCAGCGAAGCGATTGCGAGCGCACCATGACCATATGCGTGTAGTGATGACTTACATGGCATGCATGTCATGATTTCCACGTTAGGGTCCGCTACCTACGTTCGCCGTGCAGTCATTTCAGACCATACTAGTTTTGAAAAATGTCATGTAAACGAAACAGCCGCAAAAACAGCAAGACCATTACACGTACATTATCACGTTCGTCACATGCATGTCATGTTTTTTATGTTATGACTAGTCCAATATACTTGTAGTAAAGTCATGTTATGGCATAAATATTTTGCTACTAACAGCTTCATCGAAACTGCTAGGAGAGGTGGAAGTATTAAGCGGCTAGATAGATAGATAGATAGATAGATAGATAGATAGATAGATAGATAGATAGATAGATAGATAGATAGATAGATAGATAGACAGATAGATAGATAGATAGATAGATAGATAGATAGATAGATAGATAGATAGATAGATAGATAGATAGATAGATAGATAGATAGATAGATAGATAGATAGATAGATAGATAGATAGATAGATAGATAGATAGATAGATAGATGCGCTCAAAGTCGCTGAAGTTGGTTAAGAAGTGCTTCGCATTTATAATGCAAGAAGAGTTCAGGAGAAAAACGCACACTCAGAAGAGAGTGTGGCAACTTTCAACGTCATCTCTCGATGCAGCGCACAAATGTTGACCCCGCGGCTTTCTGCCCTGGCTCCACAGTGGCGCAACAGGCGCGCTGCTCCTAATTGCCTTAAAAATTTAGCTGCTCCTAAAACCCTTGACCTAAGAAAGTAACGGCACTCTTCTTCGCGCACGCTTTTCCTTCTCGATTCTCCTCACCCTCCCTCGGCGCGTGCTGCACACAGCGCCAGTTTTCGCCGGGGATATCACAGTCGCGTCACGGAATTCAATGGAGGCACGTGATATCGTGACACTTGCGCACTCCGGTAGTATAAAGATTTGGCAATAATGGTGATCACAATACAGAGAACACCAAAATGAACGTTTATTAGAAGTTTAGTTTCTTCTGAAGGTCGTGTAAATGTGGCTTGCTGCATTAAAAGCAGCTTCAAAGAGAGTTCTATGATGAGGATTTTTTAGAGGATAACAAGATTTACGTTTGCCTGATTTATAGTTTAGCTTGTGGCATCTGCTATAGACGTGAAAAGGAGCAGGTAGCAGCAACTAGTTACTACTATCAACTCGAGGTTCGTGTCCTTGTTACGCCTGAGAGTCCAGACCTTTGCAAAGGCAATCTGTGTCAAAGTCAGCGAGCGAGCCCGCTTGACGCCATCAGCTCAACGACGTCATCAAGCGGTGGCGCCGGTCTGCCTTACGCAACGCACGGCGAGCTCCCTCAACCCAAGGACCCGATAGCAGCCCGGTGATGCAAGCGGCGCGATCGAGTCTGGCGAGTCTTACGCAATGTGTGGCAACATTTCTCGTCCTTGGGTGCAACCCAGCGCAGCGGCTCCGGATTTGAGGATCATGACGCAACCCAGCGGCGGGTCCTCCCTGGAGGATCCTGATGCGACCCGGCGGCAGTTCTGATTGGACTTTGATGACGTAATGGATCACCTGGGGCCTATAAAGAACCACGCGGTACTTCGCCAAGCAGCCGAAATATGTGTCAGAGAGAAGATATCTCGGCTCTTCGACTCCCTAAGCTGTCGGCCCGAGTGCCGATTATGTAACGCCTCTATTTCAATGCTGTATATGCATCTTGCCTTAACTCACTGTCGTCTTGTCCACTCGTCTATCAGCTCTGTGCAGAAGCAGTCGCGAGCTGAGAAACACAAGATACCAAACGACTGGTGACCTTGGCGCACTACACAACAGTGTTTGCGGCGGTGCGAGTCGTAACATTGTAGAAGGGCTGCTTGTGCTTCACGGTAGAGTGGTGGAAAAATGGTATTCGAATTGTGTAAGTTTTTTTTTTCAAAATTGTTAGAAAATTTGCGACTTTGTTGGTCACCAAAGAAACTTATGAAGGATGTATAGAAAGCTGGTCACCCGTCATACACGATGTATAATTTCATTCGCAAATTGACAAGTGGCTAATAAGCTGCAGTGCTAAAGATTATTGGCACAGAACTTCTCTGAATTAATACGTAAGAATCATATACTTAGCTTACTGCAACACACTTATCGATGCCAGATTTCGGGCTCTTGTTACTTTAATAAAAATTGCCCCCAAAACTGCGGAAAGGTAACTCAAAAGCATTCACTGCGTGTGCGAGACTTTCAGGCCCGCCTATGTGCCTAGAAATGGATATCACCCGCAAGCCAGTACAATCCCGTGAACACTGCTCGGACGTCACCCGTATGCACGAGAAAACCAAATAATCGGCCTCCTGTTATGCAAACTTGACATTCAAATTAAAAAAGTAGATTTTTCAACTGAAATTTGCAACTTAATCCAGCTAGCACAGCAGGTTCTGTGCAATACCACTGGTGTGCTTACCGTTTAGACTAAACTGTTAGATGCCTCAATAAAAATGAAATATTACTGTCGGCGTCCCGCGTCGAAGGTGTTTCACGTCATCGAGAGGAGGTGATGCAAATAATCATCGTCATAAGTTGAAGTCACCATACGACTGCACGGTGACATCACATCACAAAATTGGTAGGTTCATAATGCTATGACGGGGCCATGTGATTAAACTTACGCCACGTGACATAACGGCTCATTTTCGCTGTTCATAGGGGAACGTTTCTCTCGACAGTTATGTTTTTTCAGGCAGTGCTCATTTTTCTTTTTTTCTAGCGCCAGATCACACCAATGCCATTATTTCATGTAGCCCTTCTCTCTAGAGTTGGCAGCGTATCCATCGAGTTAGCGATGATGAGTGGGGCGAAGAGTCCGTTCATCCTCCGTCCTGACCGACGACCGAAAGCTCGGAAGGACGTACTGACGGACGCACTGACGGACGCATGGATGGATGCATGGATTGACGGAAGCGCTCACGGACAGACAGAAAAACAGAAACACGGACGGACGAACAGAAGCATGGACGGACATACAAACAGATGGACGCACGGATGAAATCACGAACAGATGAATGGATGGAAAGAAGCATGGATGGACGGACAAATGGACACACGTACGGAGAGATGGTCGCTTCGCCCCACTGATGATCATTCACTCCGTAGATTTGCTGTGAAAATGGCTAGTTACAATATTGCCATGGACATATGCACACTATGCCATCTGGTGAGCAACTCGTAAACTAGAGGTGGCTAGGTATCACTACTACGACTACAGAGGAGAGAACTACCGACGGCCAAAGAAGCTTCGGTCCTGAAATAAGGAAGTTCATTTGGTGACCATCGCCAGTGTTACCTTGTTCTATACGTTCATTCGCTTACTTTTACTCACTCAGTTTCAACGGATTTTAAAAATCATAATAAGCGCGATTGAAAAGCTGTATCATAGCACGCAACTGATCCCTTCGGACAGCAGCTTCCGTATTTCATGTCAGACCTAATAACAGTTGCCTACGTGCGATTTTATGAAATCTCGGCAGAATATTCAGCATATTTAGTACAATCATATTATTATGCAACGCATAATTAGCCGGAAAGAGAACTACAATAGACATATATAAAATAAATAAAGTATTCTGAGATTCTTTCGTACGAGCAGTTAAAGAAGCGTGGTAATTAGCGAAGAACTTGCTCTTTGATGGAACGAAGTTCTTTCAGCCGATGTAGTGCAGTGATTGCTGCTTAAGAAAGCTATCGCGGTTACCCTCGATTTGGAATAAAGATGAACGCAGTCGTTTGTAGCGCGAAAAACAATACGCGCGAAATTTTCGCTATGCGAGATACGCGCAGCCCCGGCTAAAATTTGCATGAACGATAAAGAAAAATATCTGCAAAGTGCCTGGGTATTGCGTCACTATTAGCAACCGCTAAGGAGAGCAATCATCGCACAGAAGCAGCGACGGAGAACGGCAGGACACAAAAGGTAGGAGGCGGGAGAGAGAAGGTGGCATGCTCGGCGGCGAGTAGAATGCATGGCAGTACTTTCCTAAGATCAGGGAGTTTTAGCTGCTCCTATAGCCCCTTGTTGGGGTCTTTGGAGCTCAGAAATTGCCAGTTTAGTCGGTTGGCGTGCTGCTCCTCGCACTCCAATTGTGATCTGCCTTGACATATGGCGACTCCGAAGCAGAGACGACCGGAGCTGCCAGCCGAATGTGCATAGCAGAGTACGATAATCTCTTTCAGGAAGGCAGAGAACTCAAACACGTGGCCCACGGCTGGCACAAGACTGTCTTTGCCCCCATTTTTCTCTATTTTCGTTATAAGTGGGCTCGTAAGCTACTCAGACTACAAGAAAGCATTGGATATTTTGAAGAACTCCATGTGGTGGCCATATATATAGATAAGCGTAAAACAAAAACTATACTTCAGAACCGGTGGCCGAATTTCAGTCATTCTAAATATCAGTATCCCCACCCTTGGCACAAACTCTCGTTCAAGAATGACTAACATCAGGTAGGGGTATTTCCTTCATGTGACCACGTTCGCTCACAAATTGACAGTTTGTACTTGTTCAACCCCCGCCCCTTAATTAACACAAGCTTTTACCTTCCACACTATCCCGGCCCTCGCAGGACTTTGTGCGTGCGAAATTGTGCAAACCCCTGATGTATGGATTTCTACATAATGAAGAAAGATTGTATGTACCTTCTAAATAAAACATTAGAGTCATTATGTGTTAGAATTTTCTAGCATGTGGCTTGAAATATTAGACGTATGATGCGCCTTACCGGTAAGATGGGTGCAAAGCAGTAACAAATGGTGTCATGTTGGTACCGTATATTTGCCATGCAGCGATGCCACAACACAGAAGTGACAGCACCGCGAAGATGAAAACAGTGAGCCATTTCTTTCTGCAAAAAAAAAAAAAGCACCAACACTGTGATGACTTTTGAGACAGCAAAAAAGTGTTTTACGGTTCGTGCAATTTTCTCGACAAGACAATCGATCCAAAAGAATGATTCACACATTGACAAAACAGAAGTCCATTGGTTGCGCACTGTATGCACTAAAATACTAAGTGGGCAAAGAGAGTACACCATAGCGACAACGAAGAGCTTGTGGCGTGTAATATTAGGATGTATCAAAATTTATGGCAGCCACAGACCACCGAGACACACGATAATGAACGTCGCGCTTGATGAACAAGATTGAATTATATGAAACACGGTGGTGCGCAAAGCGTAATGGCTACGTCAGTGTCCTGCGCATAGGTGTAATCCATCAACTCCTGCATACGTAAGATAATTTTTTTCAGGTTTCATTAAGCATCAACAAGATGCGAAGCCAATTGAACGCCTCTGCCCCCGTTCTTAATCGCACCAGTGCTGTGAACGTGACTCGTCTGTCGTAAGACATGAATTAATTATTTGATCATGCTACCACTAACATAATATTAATCAAGAAATAAATTTATCAACGCACCCAGGAACAACCATAAGGTGTTTGTGTAGGCGCGCGCACATAGAAAGGCAATATAGATGTGCAATACTATGAAATGTACAAAAAATAAAAAAGAGCGAAAACGCACATACGGAGTCAACGCAAAATAGGAAGAATGAAAGACAAGACGAGAATGGTGAAACGGCAGTGCGAAATAAAGGGTAATATACACAACTATGTGGAAGGCTTCCTGAGAGACGGAAAAGAGAAGAATCTGTATATTGAGAAAACCTATGTTGAGACAGCGCAAAGCTGAGATAAAAACAATGACAGTGGACTGTGAAAAACATCTAGATCATAAAACTTAACAACTTACATATAGACTTTCTATTCTGCGAGCTGTAGAATGTTGAAAGAAGTTGGCAGGTACTTAAAAAAAACGCCAGGCTTGCGCGGAAGGCGCAGCACGGTCACAGCGAAAGCTAGAAGAGCGGGCTTTCAGAGCCCTTTCTAAACACTCACTGGTTAACTGCTGCAAGCACACCTGCTTGATGCCCACTATGGCATTAATAAAAAAATTGAGGGTAGTAGGCCGGCATTCGCTATGCTATTTTTCATCATTCTTCTGTGAAGCGTGGTATCCGCTAAACTATTGAGAGGGGTTTTGTGCCAATGGTTCATGCAGTGGCTGACGACGATGAAGAATTATGCCTCAAAAGGGGTATGCGCCACAGTTATTAGCTGAGCAAAAACAAGCTTTTGCAATGGGTTGGAGCATTGGACGACCCACTTGTTACGCTATTCACATTGTGCGATGACTGTTGTTCTTTCGCTGTTTTAAAACGCTTTATAAGTCGTAATATTGCGATATCTTTCCTGATATCAAGCCTTCTTAAGGTAAGTTTGTCAGGAAGTCCGAAGCACAAGCGTATCTCAGTGGTAGAATACTGGCCTGGCACTCGGCGGACCCGCGTCTGAGCCGCACTGTGTCAATGGTACAAAATTTGCTTTTCTAATTTTGCGCGATGTGGTTATGGACACCGGTGGCGGCGGCGGCGGACAAATACGGCGCAGCGCGCACGAGACCCGAGTTGTGATCTTATAACAGCTTTCGCTGTAACAGTCCATTCTGTGTTGGTACCCTATCACAAAAACCAGTGGCACTGGCCCAGTGCCATACCTGATTACTGGACCATGCAGTGCGGCGCTGACACTGGGACAGTGAAACGCTGCACGAGGCACGCTGACGCTTCACACTGGGACACTTATTATGGGGCAAATCTGGCGTTTAAACTGTTTTTAAAAATTTTGGTCATGCGCACATCGTAATTAGGGCTAAAACACGTGCGCAGGCAGGAAAGAACAAGAAAAGCTGATTAGCCAGAATCGAACTCTTTACGCTTACACGTCACACATCCTAAGCCTGGCACGCTTCCCACTACACCGCACCTGAAAGACGAGCATGAGTGTATTTTTTAATTTGAAAGTAATTCAGGTATAGATTATTTTCATTTTGTTGCTTGCATACGCAGTGTCTTGTCTCTTCTTGCTCGCGGCAAACTAACAGGTGATTGTTAGCTTATTTTTCGCGGGTTGCCTTGGATCACATCCATCTGGCACGTTTCCTGCAAAGCTTGTTAGCGCAGCTGAAGATGTGTTACGGCAATCGTAGTGACTTGCTATGCAGTTAGTCCTACCAATGTAGAAAATAGCGTTCACATGAGCTGCTTACTGAACAATGCACATTTCCTCCCTCGATAGTTTGGAAGTATTTTATGTCCTCCTTGCTTACGTTCCGCGTACGAAGGCCACAGCCATTCACTCTAGCCTAAACGACCATTAGGCTTCGGGCCGTACTTCTTGTGCCACGATTGCTGCGAAGATTGTAGATAATCAGTTAGAAAGTGTCTAATAACCGTTTAAGTGTAGTTTAGATCATAACTGGCCCATGATCGAGTGGTCATGTTTTCACCATCGACAACACAACTCAGAAGCTAAAAACATTTCCCGCCGTGGTGGTCTAGTGGCTAAGGTACTCAGCTGCTGACCCGCAGGTCGCGAGATCAAATCCCGGATGCATCGGCTGCATTTCCGATGGAGGGGGAGTGTTGTAGGCCCGTTTGCTTAGATTTGAGTGCACGTGAAAGAACCTCAGGTGGTCGAAATTTCCGGAGCCCTCCACTACGGCGTCTCTCATAATCAGATGGTGGTTTTGGGACGTTAAACCCCACATAAATCTATCAATCAAGCTAAAAACACCGAGATTTGGCATTTCAGTGAATGTCTGCTGCCAGGAAGGTGCGGTTTTTAGCTACGAGCCACAACGACTCACTGCTAGAGTAGGTTGGTCTTGATTATCAGACTGATACTATTGGCATACTGTTTTGCGAAACATCAGTTTGATTGATGCCGGTTATAAAATACAATGACGCAACTCGATCAAACGTCAAGGAAAGCGCACCCGCGCCAAGTGAGAGGGGCCATATATGGGTGGGCTGGAGCCTTTTTTCCCGAAATTCTCGCAAGGCCCCCTTTGCCCCCACCCGCAAGAGCAAGCGTAGTTAAAACACGACGTATAAGTTCTGTGCCTTCTTCTCTTCTTGCAGGAACACAATTGTCGTTGGTCTCTCCAGCGAAATCCTGGCCGCACTCCTGACCAACGCACTCGACATAATCATGCTTTAGCGTACTCGCATCCATTGCATTAAAACTGAATCTATATATGTGTAGCGCACAGATGAGCATACCATCATGTTCGGTAAATTTTACGCTCGACATCTCGCGATTCAATATGAAGTCTCACAGAAAGTGCGCCGATCGCGCCTTGTTTCTTCAATGTGCCGCTAACGTTATCACTGTGCGGTAGAGACTCTACAGCGTAACTAGTGCCTCCCAGCGCGCTTTAAGACACTGGGCGACGCTGTACAGTGTGGCCCAGTGATTGAAATAAGTAAGAGACGGTTAGAGTATTGGTGGCAGAAAATTAGAGAGAAAGGACAAAAATAAATATTGGAAAAATAAAATATGGACAGTGTGCCGTAAACAGCAGAGAACTTAAGCTGAAAATTTACCTTTTTTTTTCCATTAAGATAGAATTTATCGAAGTAGAGGCATTAGGCCAAAATAAAAAAAAAAGAAAAAAGGTTTTTTTTTTGTCGAGCCTGGTGGCATACTTGTCACCACCCCGTTATAAAGGGGACGCTCATAGCATCCATCCATCCATCCATCCAGTGCGTGTCTGTGCACTGGGCGACTCTAAAACACCGTATAGTGTGTCCCAGTGCTTCGCAGCGGGCTGGGACACACTGGGCACACTGTACGCTGGGACACACTGTACAGCGTTTCCAGTGTCACCCAGCCACTGAAACGCACTGGGAGACACTGGAAACGCTTTTTTTTTCTTTTTCAACAGGGTAATTTACGCGGAATTTTATTTTATAGAACGGAGAAGTGAAGGGCAGGATATCATAGCGTGAACTAGTTTAGGTCAGCGTAATTGTGTCGGCAGTGAAAACATGGAAATGATAATAATCTTGAAGAGTTGAATAAAATTCAGAGAAATTTGTAGCAGATCAATTGGATGTGAGTGCTTATGAGTTTTTTTGACTAGCCTAATGGTGTTGCTGCATATTTCACGATGCAATTCCAGATCACAGATACATATTCAAGTTGAGGAATACATATTGCGGTGTGCAATTTCTGGAAGGCTCTGGGCCAACTGAATTCTTTTGATATTCTGCAAACACGGCTGAGAGAAGGAACGCATGGCAGCACGTTAAGTGTGAGCAGAAAAATTTAGCATGCGATCAAAGTGAGCACCGAGATCACTGTACTCCGAAATCTCACATAACGACATGATATTGCCAGAGTATGTAAGTGACTTGGTAATAATATAATAAATATATAGTTATAATATTAATAATATTATAAATAATAATATTACTTTAGGTTATAAAAAGGAAATGACGCTTGTTACGGCAGCTGATAAAGAAACTTAGCGCAGTGTCCTTATAGAGCATCATTGAAGAAGAAGAAAAAATTGGCCAAATCTGACTACCTTGGGAATCAATGTATGTAGAAGCATGCACATTGAAGCTGGCTGTGTTATATTATTTTTATTCAGTCAAACGTTACGACGTATCACAGAAAGACATGCACAAATTCACGCTTGAACAAAAGTTAAACTGTCGAAATGATTTTATATAACTAGTTGTGTATAGTTGCGTAACGATGCCAACAGCAGCGTGGATATTAGCAACACAAGAAGCGGTAAGCTGTTTTCAAACACTCCAGTTCGCAAGGATGGTAGCCCTAAACACTGCTACAGAATCCAATTCGGAGAATGACCTTTAACTACAATTGACGTTTTTTTTTCTTTATACACAAGTTACCCCGCTTTGGCCTTGTGTGTTACACCAAGAGGGGGGAGGAAGTTACAACAGAGATACAAATAAGTCTTCATTTGCACAAAATACTTCCTTTTCAGAAAGCTCATTTATTCTTCTACGCATTTTTAAGATTTCATGGGAGGCTGTACGAAACGGCTGCGTCATAGAAGTATATACGTAATATTTATGAAATTGGATAGCCAGCAATGCAAAATAATGGACTTTTCACGAATAATATGGTCTATTGGAAAAAATAGTTGCGATATCTGGCGAGGCTCCCTGCTAGAATATTTGATTGGTATGCAGAATGCCGGGATTCAATCCCTGTTGGGATCCTGACATTTATTCTTTGCAATCGTCGGTTAAACGCTGCCGATATCAGCTTTTAATTCTGCTCACGCATTCAAATTGCTCATATCTCTTGTCGCTCTTCGCGGGTAGGTACAAACTCTCAATTCCTATGGTACATACGCGCACACCTGTGGCGCATACCCGCCCGCTGCTATGATCACACGTCTGGCGTAGAGGACTTGATGACGTGCACGATGGGATTGTCACATTATTCATGTCATGACCGGCGAGCCACATTAGTCAAACCATTTTACCTTCCTTAACTAACTTTTGTTTACCGAATTTAGGGTTTGATCACGACAGAACCCGTACATAGGCGGCTTTAGAGATAGATAGATAGATAGATAGATAGATAGATAGATAGATAGATAGATAGATAGATAGATAGATAGATAGATAGATAGATAGATAGATAGATAGATAGATAGATAGATAGATAGATAGATTAACAGGCGCTCAAAGTGCGTGCAGTACGCACAGAAATAATTTGCAATAAAAGAAAGAACAAAACGCTTGGGAGCTTCAGCTCCCCTTTACCTTTTCCCAGAGTACAGTAGCCGACCGGCATGTGCCTGGTTTACAAAACCTCCCTTTTTTTCTCTCGTTCGTTTTCTACCTTTATTCTCCTTTACATGAAAGCTTTGTTTTTTCATTTAAAATTTTCTTTCTGAATAGCTATCCAGAGACCACTTTCTTTGTGATACGAAAAAAAAAAAAGAGAATACTTGCTTTTATACAGCAACTGCACTAAGTGTTATATTCCTAGCGAGTGTCAGCTTGACTAACTCTGTCTTCAAGAAGGGTTATCTGCCCAATTGATCCTAGTAAAGCGAAATAAATGAAGGCGCATGTCTAGACCTACTGTCTCTCCTGCTCTAAGTGGATCATCCAACAACTCGCGAACCACTAATGTGTCTACTAGATCATTGATTGATTGATACGTGGGGTTGAACCTCTGAAAACCGCCATAGAATTATGAGAGACGCCTTAGTGGAGGGCTCTGGAAATTCCTACCAACTGGGGCTCTTTAACGTGCACCAAATCAGAGCACATGAGCCTACGACTTCTTGGCCTCCACCGAAAATGCACCCACTGCCACTGTGATTAGATCCCGCTACCTGCGGGTCAGCAGCCGAGTACCTTAGCCATTAGACCACCACAGTAGGGGCGTCTACTGGATGGTCTAATTACCATAATTCTGAATCCATATGCTATGTAATACCTGAGGCATATATGGTTAAGAACAACGGTGACATCTTTGCCAGATGGTGGAAGAACTACGGTAACTTACCTTCTAAATGTCTGTATTACTGCTACTGACACGAAGAAGAGCTGAAAATCTGCGGAGAGGTACCACAAGTGCGCCATGGTGACCTGTTGAAATTATAAAATGAAAGCAAAATGGTCACAAATGTACATTTGTCACCCACCAGGTTCATACGTTTGAAAAATTACCCATTTTTTATTTTTCACAGCAATGAAAATGCACCTAATTTTAGTGAGATAAGTATACTACAACCTTACACACTTTAGTTTTATGCACTACCATTATTTTTCATCGGACACACTGCCCTCTGATACGAAAGTAGTTGGTATGGCACTCTGAAAGCCATTGGCAGTTGGAAGGACAACCGTTCTTGGAAGGACATTTTAGCTCTTAAACGTCATTTGGCGGCTAGTCACACATTTAATTAGTTTTCTAACAGCACGATTGAGTTTATAAGTCAAGGAAAACTAGAAAGCAAAAAATAATAAAAAGGTACATACAGAGTAAGACCAACAAAATATATGCGATTGCCCTATCATACTTTTGGTGAATTTTCTGTAGCATAACCTGAAGGCTACGGAAGTGATAGTTCAAGAAAACCTTAGCTGTTACGATCAACTTTAAGGACGAAATTGACGGTGCCGTGGAGAACATCGACTATAAAAGAGTACGACTACCCTGTTCTTGTTCCTAATATGTACTGCACCCAATATTTCGTATTTAAAAGTCATCACTTCAATCTAGTCCAAATGCCTCTTTTCCTACAATACATGTACAGTATATTAAAGGGCCACTCACCAGGCTCCCAAAATACAAAAAAGGCGAGCAATATTCTTTCTTGATGATTCTCGTCCTTCTTGGTGCACCACTTTGAGGTAGGGAGTGTTTCGCGTAACGTGAACAGCGTGCATGCTCTCGATTCGTCGATTTACGCAAAATATCACAAGTGAATTGTCTCCTGCACTGCTGTGCCATGCAGCCGCTCATCTGTTCTTCTTTGTCTCACATAAATATCCTGCACCATCAACGCAATCAAACATCAACTTTTGTGTGTACAACTGCGCAAGCGGTGATAACAGCATGTGACCGAGAAGTGCGAAATACTGATAGACTCCAACGCTGAGCGCTAATATTGTTCACGCGCATTCAAAAACTAAGGGGCGAGGAGGATGTATCGTGTGTATGAAGGAGAGGAGAAAACCACCCCCTTGTCTTTAAACGCGGGGTGGTGAGTGGCCCTTTTAAAATAGCGTGACTACCGGGAATAAGAATACAGTCTACTAAATGGGAATACGAGAATACGGGCTAGAAAGAGCCCCGCCACGGTGGTCTAGGGGCTAAGGTACTGGGCTGCTGACCCGCAGGTCGCGGGATCAAATCCCGGCTGTGGCGGCTGTATTTCCGATGGAGGCGGAAATGTTGTAGGCCCGTGTACTCAGATTTGGGTGCACGTTACAGAACCACAGGTGGTAGAAATTTCCGGAGGCCTCAATTACGGCGTCTCTCGTAATCATGTAGTGGTTTTGGGACGTTAAACCCCACAAGATCAATTAAATCAAATCAGGCTAGAAATACCGCGAATGCGCATTCGCCAAGGCATTCTCAAGCTGGAATGCGCCAACCAATTTTTCGAAACGTTTATCATAGCCCGGGCATTGGCCTTTTTGTATATCCTTCGGAGGTAATGCATGCGTGTGCTTCTCATGTATTTTTTTATTCGATGGCAAGTTAAACTTTGTGCGCAATCGGCTGTAGCACCTGCCTCCGTGAAAATTATACCCCCTTCGCTTCCGCACGTGCGCTAAAGCCTACATATTGAAGAGAAACAAAAATATGCACTGGTTAAATGTTAGCACTGCCCTCACCTGTTTTCTTGTTACTGAGTCCCTGTTTATCCTTTTCCTCACACCCGTTTTGTTTAAAAAATGAAAATTCAATGGCTAAGAGGCCTTTTGTGAAGGTCACTGATGCTCATGTTTTATGTTCGGCAAGGACACTGAGCACTCTTCGTTGAGACACCTTGGCAGTACACATAGTTTTTTTACACGTATGTTCATTCACTAGATACCAAACCTAACCAGACAAACCGGAAAACGGCCACAAATCGTCCCAAACGGCTCGGTTTCCTCCATATTTTGTTTAACATCACTACGAGTTCTTCTAAGCTTCCTCAGATACTTCGCATTGTTCTAGTTTAAACTGATGACCGTGCCCGATGGTGGGCTACTAAAGAACACACAGCATACTAGCTGTTCCATCACTATATTTGTGCCATGGACTTACTTTCGTTTGCGTGCCAGATCAATTTGGTTTAAGGAACCGCGTTGAGTCTGTTTTATTTTATTGCAATAACAATTATATGGGCACTCTCGGCTAGATTTTGCCGACGGCGTCGACGTCAGCGTCTCTCACGGCTTATGTATACGTATCTATTTATATATGAAAATGCAAAAGAAAAAGAAAAGAAAAAGACTCTTGCGCGGGGAACTGCATTTGGGTCCTCTGAATCATGAGTGCGAGGCGTTAACCACTACGCCACCGAGGAGCATGTCCTCCAACGTTCAAACGGCAAGCTAATTATACTACCACTTACCGCTTCTGACGGGCACCTTGGGGGGGGGGGGGGGGATTGTGTTTTCAGCATTACCAGCAAGATGGCGCAATAAACGCGTGGCGGCGAGTTCTCTAGTCTCTTACGTGTACTTTGCCCGGCTCATAGGAGGAGAAAGACGCTCCCTGCCACGCCCTTAACTCGCGGTGGAAAGGAGGGGTGAATCGTACGCCTTGACTGGCCTCGGGTTTTACCTGGAACAATTATGTTGTAGTTACCGGGCGCACAAATGTCACTGCGATCATTGCAGTCTCTGTTCGCCAAAAGCGCGCGCTTTTCAGATACAGCAAAGTAACAACTGAGACGCTTATTCACGTGCATCTGTACCTGTAAGTACGTTTCGTGCGTCATTTGTGCGTGAGAAACGCAGGGCACGTTTCGATCTGCTTTTCATTCTGTGCGTGACTTTCCAAATTTTTGCTATGCCGTTCCTTGTTTGAGCTTTGTGGCAAAGCTGTGAGTATTTAGAAACGAAAACCACTATATCAATATGCTGACCTTCAAGTGGAACGGCCATATTTGCAAAGCATCTCACTCATAAATTGTGCCATTGTTTGGCTGCCTTCGTTAAAGTGGCGTGTACAATTCAGAGGCCGAATTCACAAAAGTCTCTCAAGCTAGAGTTTTGCACAAAGAACATTTTATCATAACTGTATGTTACGCATAAATAATGCACAGCACCAGCATTCGGCAAAGATGTCTTATGAAACTAATTCGGCCCCCACAATAGTCTCAGTTTCTTAAAAATAATTTTAGCTTAAAAGCGGTAACAAATATAAATCCATACTTTGTGTCTAAGAAACACAGATGTGCAAACTGAAAGTAGCACCATTCTATTAACAATAGTATTTCGAGTTTTACGTTCCCAAACCACGATATTAATATCAAAGGCGCCTTAGATAAGAGCTACAGAAAATTGCGACCATCTGGTGTCCTTAAACTTGCACTGCCATTTCATGACATTTCAATGTAAACGGGCTTCTAGCACTTCGTCTTCTAAATGTGACGTCCATGGCTGGGATCGAACCCGCGACCTTCGTCAGGTACGAATTGATTTCACCTTCACGTGGAAATGCCAAACCAACTACTAACTACATTGGAACTGTTTAGCTACATCTACAGGCAACGTAACGGTGCATAGAAGTGACTCCGTCGCTCAGTTTTCGAAAAAATGAATTAATTAGCGAGTGTGTCTATAGAGGAGAGACTTCAAGAAAAGGTAAATTATGTGCAACGTGGTGGCATATAGGTAGATGAGCTTATATCTATGAAAAAAAATTGCTAGTGCTGCCACTTCAGTGAGCTGTTTGTTATTCATAGCTCTTCCCCGCATGCATACAAAGTGTTGCAAGACAGTGTAACTTCACTGAAGCTAGGTATTGTGTGTTGGAAACGACCCTTTTTTTAGTGTTACTGTTGTTTTTCATCCTTCATTAGGTGAGAGATTTTATGTAATGAATGAAGAAGAAACAAAATGAATGTGTGCCGACGAAAATGAATGAAAAGACTTGTAAAATAACAAAGTTACGCTTAGGCTACCGTACGGTATCCTTGCTTACAAGTATGTGGCACAGCGAGGCGAGCTTATGTTCCTTTTAGAACGCTGCAGACATAACTTGCGTACGCTAGTGGCAGACTGCAATCATTTCCGTTCAGTGCTTTTTTTATATACGAAAATATTTCATACCAGCGTCCACACGGTTTCGCTGACGCATTGTTGCAACGGGTACGAAGTTGTATAACAAGTATTCTGACAGATTACCAAGGAAAGAAGGAGAAGGCAAGCTTCTTTCGTGGTGCCTCGAACCAGCAATCTCTAAATTCGCAGCACGCGGCGCTCACTTTTGGGCCACAGAACGTGCGTTCTCAGGCTGCTAACGGCAAGCTATTTGTATAAAAGATATATGGTTCGGGGGTCGCCTGAGCTCCGCTGCTTGAGCGCGTTTTCGTCAGCAGAAGCGAGATGGCGCAAAATCTCACGTTGGGCGCGCTCTTAAGTTTCTCGCATCTAACCTTTTGATTAGTGCCGGCCCCACGAAGCTTGGTCTTTCCCGCATGTGCGCTTTACAAACTTGTGATTCGGAAGTGCACGAAGGTCACTTCACTCTCTGCCATGGCCAAATTTATGGAAGAAGCGCGCTGCTATAACACGAAGAGGTAAGAACTGTGGCAGTTGTTCACGTTTATCCTTTGTATGCTTGTGCGTTCGTTTCGTGCGCCTTTACTTTTCTTTATACAGCGCGCTTTACGTGTTGAGTTGTGACAGCTGTTAGTCCGTGCTCGTCCTGTGCATGCTAATTCCGTGCGTGCTTTCTGATTGAGGGGCGCGCAGGAAGTTTTGAGCTGCTTGCGCGAGTTGGCCATTTCTGGCTGTAGTAGTATAGTACTAGACCTATGCTTCAGCCACACATCAAAAGGCCAAGCATTTAGACAGCCTGCGAGATCAAGCGACACTGTTCTTCTTCGCCTTCGGCGCCGATACAGTTAAGC